TGGACTACAGCTCTCACCAGTCCTAGCCAGCATAGCCAAAGATGAGGAACGCTGGATGTTGCAGTACAACAAGATCTGGACTACTGCAGGCTTAACAGACCTGAAGTGAAGTTATCACCTATATGTGTCTTCCAAACATATTTTTCACATAGTAGTTGGAATCATGGGGCCCTCCAGATGTTCCTGGACTGCAGCACCCATCGGCCCTCGTCAGCATAGCTAATGGTGAGGAATGCTAGGAGTGCAGTCCAACATCTGGAGGGATAAATGGTTCCCCCTGTATTTTAAGCTTATTAGGGAGGGGCATTTTGAATTCTCAGCCAGAGAGCTCTTAGGGCTCACTAAACTACAAACCCCAGAATCCCATGGAAGGCAACCATAGCAGTCGCAGTGGAATAATAGTGCTATAACAGTGCAGTGTAATACCGACCTGTGTATGGGGTGGAGTGGGCTGGTGAATTGCTCACTTTATGCCTAGTTCATGAATTCCACTCCTTGAGAGATCAATTTCTATCTCACGCGTTTCCCAACATATACCACTCATCTACACATCAGGGTCTGATGCCACACTGAAAAATTAATGCAGTTTAATAGCGCTTAAATGCCATGGCTCAATGCTACGGGATCCTGGGATCTGTAGTTTGATGTAGCACCAGATCTCCCCGACAGAGAAGGCCAAATAGCTTACAAAATTACAAATCCCAGAATTCCATAGCACTGAGCCATGGCAGTTATTCCTTGATATACATCCGTAGCATTGCTGTTCAGCAGCTCTCTCAGATTGGATTGGGACTGGAGAGGGCAACCCCACAAAGGTAAAGGCAGGGCTCTTGTATCTCATTCTTCTCTCTAAAGTTGACTGAACCTCTGGCCTCGACCAGCAACTAATTTCCCTTATCGCTAGGGTTGCCACAATGAAAGGTCAACTTCTTAGCTTCTGTTATCAGCGCCTTCCCTCTGTCTCCTTGGAGAAAATTCGTGATAAAGAGAAACATTCAGTCCTGTTAACTAGTTATGGCCCTTCCCTGATGAGAACAGCATCTGATCTGAAAGACAGCTCCAAGCAATTTTGTCTGTTAATGTAACCAACTTATTAATAGGATTATATATAGTTTCCAGAATGGCTTCTGCAGTGGGGTTCCTCCTCCATCTGACCCCATCTAAAAGAAGCAATTTGGATGGCTTAACCCACATAGCACCCCTCACCCCAAGACTCCTGCTGTTCTGTCTCCTCCTCTCCTGCGACGGCGATAAATGAATATAAGGTACATTTGCTATACCCTACAGACAAGCAGATCCCATCTGATCTTGGAAGCTAAACAGTGTCAGCTCTAGTTAGTACTTGGATGGGAGACCACTG